GAGTATTGTTGCACCTCTAGTAGAAGGGTACCTTTAGCGTTACTATGAGATACCTAGGGGTATGACAAATCGTTGATATGTTACGCATTGGGAATGATAATGCTCTGGCTGGACAGGTTTAAACAGGAGGTAGTGATGTAGGGCACTGAAACGTCAGAGGAAGAGGTGGGACATTTTGCAGCTTACATAGATTGCCAAATTGGGAGAGCTTATTGTGTATGACCTAATTTCTGATAAGGCTCATTGTTAAATGAAATCCATTACGGGTGACAACCCCATGAAGCGATTGCCAGTAGTGTGCAATATAAGGCATTTTAAGGTCTGTCTTTTTGCTTACTGCACTAACCCATATCTGCTTTTTGATAATTTTTACCTTGCGCCTGTCCAAATTCTTGTTTGGTAGTGTAATGGATGTTGGATCAGTGGTTGTTTTCTCTTACGCAGCTCTGGATTCAGATGCCGCTTTCAAAAACGTAACTTTAAAATGACAGAAGTACATAGCTGAACGGCTTTAGCTGAAGTATGCACTCCTATAGTTCTGCAGACCTCTTCTGGTGTTGTATAACAGAGAAGCCCTGTTTCTTTGCAGCAGTGTTGACTTAACTCTGCGCCCTTAACTGCCTAGAACAGCAGTGGCTGTTTGTGGTGGCAGAGTGACTGTATTTCAGAAGAATTACATCCAAGTGCAAAAGCAAAACTTCGCAGTTTGTTTTCAGTGTAAATACTCATAAATGTCTGGTCCAAACACATCACATAAAGTGTGAGCACATCTCTGTGTAAGGGTTAGAGTGTGTGTGGCCCTGCAGGTTATTATATAAGCTGGTCTTTATTCAGTTCTTCTGATTACAGATGGGGGGGCTTTGATCTTTGCCAAGCCTTTCATTGCCTCTGGCCTCCTTCTCGAAGCCTTTTATTAAGACAAGCCTCATGTACCTCACGTATTTCTTGCACTCCTCTCATCCAGAGTAAATGCATTATCTGCATGTTTTGTGTGTTAGTGTTGATTGCATATGCAATAAACACTCAAACCACCCAAACACACAGACAGGCAGACAGACTCAACATCTTGTGTATGCAATTAGTGTATTAAAAGGTGTAAAGATCAGATGACATGCTCACCTTTATGCCTGATCAGAGCCACCTGTTTATGTAGGTCAGTACTTATGTTTGCTCATGCAGTCAGTCTTTGCTTGAAATTCAGCAGATACTACTGAGTATGGAACTTAAGGATTGCTTGATACTGTTAATGTTAAATTTCTAATAATCTTTTATATCACCAGTGGCTTTTGTCACAGGAGAGGGTAACAAAGGTTGGATAGCTATAATATAATATAATATAATGTAATATATACTCGCTAGCTCCTTTAACAGGCCCACCTGTTCAACTCTATGTTAACACAAATATCTAAACAGTCAATTGCATGGCAGCAACTCAAAGCATTTAGGCAAATAGAGATGGGCAAGATAACCTACTGAAGTTCACACTAAGCATCACAATGGGGAAGAAAGGTGATTATATGGTTGCTGGTGCCAGACAGGCTGGCCTGAGTATTTCAGAAACTGCTTATCTGCTGCGATTTTCCCATACAACCATCTCTAGGGTTTACAGAGAATTATCTGGCAGGGAGAAAATATCCAGTGAACAAAAGTTCTCTTCATAAAAATGGCTGGTTGATGCCTAAAGTCAGAGGAAAATAGCCAGAGTGCAGAAGAGGATCTCTAAATGTATGACACGTCGAATGCTGAAGCAGATACGCCACAGCAGCAGAAGAACACGCCGGGTGGCACTTCTGTCAGTTAAAAACATGAAACTAGGGTTCAACATTTGGATTGTACAGTCAGAATTTTGAATAAACAACATGAAAGCATGGATCCAATGGTGTAGTGGTGTAGGGGATGTTTTCTTGGTATACTCTGTGCCCCTTAGTGCCAACTGAGAATTATTTAAATCCCGCAGACTATCTTGTTGCTGACCATGTCTATCCCTTTATAGCCACAGTGTATCCATATTCTGATGTATTTTGTTAGCTTTTCAAGTTAAAACATCTCAAACCCGTCCACTAATAAAGTGTCCATTCAGTGTATATTACTATAAACAGTTCAACATAAAGCAAAAAATGGAGCTCAGGTATTAGGTTTCTGAATTAAATGAAACTATATTATTAGTTGTAAGTTTAATCACTTTGTATGGCATCACTTTAAGTGATATGACTGCAATAAAAACAGAAAACGGTAAAAGTTATTTCAGTGCTCATTCTTGAGGTTAAAGCATGCAGGTAAAGCTTGCTAGCATGGATCTCAATTCTGCTTTAAAACATAATGTGTTTCATTTAATTTTACCAGTGAAGCCATTCGTAGTTTGAACAAAACTTTTCCCCAATTATTGAACAACATCATGTCCACACAAGCTCAATGAGACTGGAAGCAGAACTGGGAAAGAGCAACGTCTCCTGACAGCGACAGGCCACAGACTCACCTGGGTCCCCGGTCTGTGTGTGGCAACAGTCTCTTTGATGAGACGAAGTTCTGATGGTGTGACTCCACCAACCATGAAGAGGA